ATTTTCAATAACCTCATATACATGCAAAAGCTGAACAGTGAATAAGGAAGACCGCAGAAGAATTGATGCTTTGGAGTTATGGTGTTGGAGGAGAATATTGGAAGTGCCTTGGACTGCCAAAAGAACCAACAGATCTGTGTTGGAAGAAGTGCGACCAGAGTGCTCCTTGGAGGCCATGATGGCCAAACTTCATCTCTCATACTTCAGACATATTGTCAGAAGGGACCAGTCACTGGAGAAGGGTATCATGTTTAGTAAGGTGGAGGGTCAGAGGAAAAGAGGAAGACCCCCAACGAGATGGATTGGCCAAGTGGCAGTATCGATGGACTCAAGCATGACAACAATAGTGAGGTTGGCCCAGGACGGGGCAGTGTTTCGTTCTGTTGTGCATAGGGTCGCTGTGAGTGGGTACCGACTCAATGGCACCTAACAACAACAATCCCCTGGAAACACCAGCAGGGGCATGGGACCAAGGAGGAAAGACAGCCAGCCAGTGACACGGGGTGACTCAATTCCCCTAGCTACCCCAGTCAGAGCCAGGAAGCCAGAGCCTTTTTACCTCCCCACACTCATTAGTCATGGCCCCAGGTAGCCCGGGCACTTCCCATGTCTGCAAGGAGTGGGGAATCTATAAAGGGCCTCCCAGTGGGAGCTGGGAGTGAGAACCCAGGAGAAGGGAGACTGCTCCGTTTTCATGTATCTTCTCCCAGATATGTGTTGATACTTGAATGGTGTTGCTTTAAACATGGCCAAGCACTTTTGCAGATGCTAGGAGTGGGTTAGGGTCCGGATTATTGTTATATTAATATTACTGTCTCGTAGTTGAGAAATGGATGCTCTAAGGGATAACTAATTAGTCATAAATTACTCACAGGGAGCCCTGGTGTGATGCTGTAAGATAAAGCACTGGACCGACTGCAAGGTTGGTTTGAACCACAAGGTTGGCAGTTCAAGCTCACCAACCAACTCCTTGGAAACCCTATACAGGATTGCTATGAATCAGAAATAACTCAATGATACTTAACAACACCCAAAAGTTAGATTTTTGTTGTTGTTGTTTAATGTCGTGGAGTTGGTTCTGACTCATAGTGACCCTGTGTAGTATGTCCAAGGAGTGGCTGGTGAATATGAACCACCAACCTGTGATTCACACCAACCTTATGTTTGAATCCTTATCCTATAACACCACACCAAGACTATATGTACCTTACCAAAAGTAAGGTATGTATAGCATAAAATACGTATATTAACAAACTTTCCAGCACCTGCCATGCACCAGCTGCTATGCAAGGTAGGGGAACAGAGCAGCCAACAAGACAGCCTCAGACCCTCCCGGTGACCAGACAATAAGATCCCCAGCTGACCACGCACCCTGCCCTCCACCCACAGGTGATTGTGTACGTGGAGGACGTCAACGATGAGGCCCCTGTGTTCACACAGCAGCAGTACAGCCGCCTGGGGCTCCGGGAGACTGCGGGCATCGGTACCTCCGTCATCGTTGTCCGAGCCACGGACAGAGACACTGGTGAGACCCCCAGCTTGTCCAGCCCACTCTTGCAAGTTCCCAAACTCTCAGGAAAAGTACTTCAAGCTCCTCCATTCAGCTGCCTTCAGGCCCAGGAAGGGCTGCTGGCACGGTCTTGGTCTTGCCCCACCTAACAAGAGTCACAGAACTGGGGTCCACTGGAGTTGTCCCAGGCTGTGGGTGGAGAGGAAAGGTCACAACCTTAGCACATCTTGATTTATCATCCAGGATCTGGCAGCTCCCAGCTGGCTACTGGCCAGGGCTGGGAGGGGGCTCCCAGGAATATTTTAGGAAGCCGACTAGACCTGTTTTTATGTCTCACTGGCCCAGCTGAGGGCCTGGCACACCTAGACCTTCCTTTCCCATTATAAGGGCAGAGGTTGGCCCCAAAGATAGCCCCAAGCCTTACAGGTGGTCACCACAGTCACAGTGGAAAATGGAGGAGAAACGTGACTAGTCACTGTGGCCTTCTTCAAGGGATCTGGGCACTTTGGGTCTATGCTCCAGGCCAAAGAGGAACTCTTATTGGGTGTCCACCTCCCCTAGAGGCATCCCCTAAGCTCCATCCCTCCCTTCCTGTCTGAGCTGTGTCCACTCAGGTAGCCCCCAGCTAGGACAAGGGAGGAGTAGAGGGAGAAATCCCCAGGTGGCTCACTCTCCCCACATGGCACTTGTATACAGTTCAGGCCCATGTAGTGGTTCATGAGCTTCACTGGATCAGGAATCCCTTTGAGAAACTAACAAAAGCTACCATCGCTGACCCTAAACAATGTACATCCATCTGGAGATTTTCAAATGATTTTAGGGAAGTCCTTGGATTTCCTGAGTGGTTTTACGACCATTCTTCTTCCTACCCCTCCTTCTTGAAGTCTGTGAGCTCCCAGCTCTAGGTCCTGAGAAATTCCAGTTCTAGCTCTTGTGTCTTCTAAGGCACAGTAAGAAGCTCTGGTAGCACAGTGGTTACGAGTCAGGCTTCTAACCTCAAGATGAGCTAATTTGAAACTATCAGTGATTCCACAGGAGAAAGATGAGACTTTCTGTTCCCATAAAGATTTACAGCCTTGGAAACCCTATACAGGGTCACTATGAGTCGGAACTGACTCCACAGAACACCAACACCAAGGCACAGTGATTTTGTGTTTAGGGAGTGGGGAGAACAGGGGGATCTAGTGGTTCCTCCTTTGTTCCAGGGACCAAATGGAGGCTTGGTTCCCTCTGGCTGCTACCCCTGTCTGATAACACTCCTCACTAAAGGAGATCCCTACTTCTCCAAATACCCAAGGAAGGCCCTTGAGCTTGAATTTTGAGGCTCTGGGAGCACAATGGTTCCTGTTGGCACAGTGTTTAAAGCACTGGTTTGAAAGAACGGAGAGCAGGACCCTACCCAGAGAAGCAGTGATGGCAGAGATGGAGGCAGAGACGATGATGTGGAGAGATGGAGCAGCTGGGGACTTTAGATCCAGAGAGGGAGAGGGGCTGTGTGCTGACGACCCGGGGGGGGGGGGGGGGAGGGCACGGCGCAGGCTTGCAGAGTATACCCTTTGGTTGGTTGATGATGCATGGGGGGGATTGTAACCATGGCAGTGAAACAATATACCACAGGATGAATGTGAAACTAGTGTTCTCCCATGTAAACTATCACATAATTCACAATAAAACATTTTTTTTTTTAAAGCACTAGTTTGAACTCACCAAGTCCTCCGCAGGAGAAAGATGAGGCCATCAGCTTTGGATTTACAGCTTTGGAAAGCTAATAGGGCAGTGCTGTCTTCTATAGGATCACTACAAGTAGCAATAGTTAGGGTCTTTTTGATGTTTAGGAGCAAAACCAAGCCCCTCTGACGTACCTCTCATGTCAGAGAAGAGGCAACCATGCACGGTGGACCAAGCCATCCACATAGGCCTTTCCCACCTTCCACCTTATTTCTTGGGATGGTCCAGCCCACAGAAGTGGGGGCGGGGCATGCTATCCCCTGGCCTCATCCTCAGGGATTGCACCAGGTGTGGGTATGGGCAGGTTAGGGAGCCACAGGGCAGCTCCGCTCCCACCTGGGGCTGCACAACCTCTTATCTGTCCTGCAGGGGATGGTGGTCTGGTGAACTACCGCATCCTGTCAGGGGCCGAGGGGAAATTCGAGATAGATGAAAGCACAGGACTGGTCACCACTGTGGATTACCTGGACTACGAGACCAAGACCAGCTACCTGATGAACGTGTCAGCCACCGACCAGGCGCCTCCCTTCAACCAGGGCTTCTGTAGTGTCTACGTTACTCTGCTTAATGAACTGGACGAGGCCGTGCAGTTCTCCAACGCCTCCTACGAGGCTACCATCATGGAGAACTTAGCACCAGGCACTGAGATCGTGCGGATCCAGGCCTACTCCATCGACAACCTCAACCAAATCACCTACCGCTTCGATGCCTACACCAGCGCCCAGGCCAAAGCAATTTTTAATATCGACGCCATCACGGTGAGGGGCCGACTCGGCAAAGATTCTCCCTGGGGCAAAGAGCTCTATTTCTTTCGATCTAGTCAACTTTGATCAAATCGTGTAATCCATCCCTTTATCATATTTAATGTGTCTATACCTTAGCAATCTTAGTATCCATGTTACTTGGCAGTGAAAACTGCAAATCATCATATTTCCCTTTTCACCTTGGCTGTTAAGAAGCTCAGATATAACTTTGTGCCTCTCTGAAATAACTACTCTTAGCTGGATTTCTGGTGCCCCTCTCTACTGCCTGTCTTCTCTCCTCCATCTTTGCTTTAGTGTGTCTTTTATCAGAATCCCTTTCAAGTCTTTTGGAAACAGGCAAGGTGTGAATTAATACAGTGTGCCAGGTTGTGTCCTGTGGGTGTTGGGAACACAAAGATGAGCAAGACCCTTCCTGGCACTCAGAGAGTTCTTCAGCTAGAAGGGGAAGAGACAATAACCAAGGATTCAAATCAGAGCACCACAAGGGGAGATGTGGTGCTTCCTCCCAAACAAGAGAGTGGTCAGACCTGGCTAGGGAGCAGGAAGCTTTCACAGTAAAGGTGGTGTCTGAATGGGATTTGAGAGAGAAGTTGAATTTCCACCAACAGAGCTTCGTGGGCAGAAGGAGTGCTGTGCAGGTGGGAGAGTGGGAAGGGTTCTCAAGGATTACTGGGGCTTGGGGGCCTGGAGGATGTGATGTCATCCCTTGTCCCATCTGGCCCCTCCCCACAGGGTGTGATCACCGTCAAAGGCCTGGTGGACAGGGAGAAGGGCGACTTCTACACCTTGACAGTGGTGGCAGACGATGGCGGTCCCAAGGTGGACTCCACTGTGGTAAGTAGGTACCTGGACAGAGAGTCTCACGGGTGCAGCCTGTCACAGCCAGCAGCATGTAACCAGATAGCAGGCAGAGTTTCAAAAGCCCAGGCCAACACATGCGGGTCGAGCACAGAGTTGCTCCAGAATGGAGGGCCCGTTTCCCAGGCTGTAGTCCAGGGGATGTGCTCTATGGGTGTCAACGCATTATCTCCCTCAGACAGGCAGGGATGGCACCCTCAACGGAGCACAGGTAACTAACCATCTGTATCTTTGCCTTTTCTCTCCCTTGCTCTCCTGCCATCTCCGCCAACAGAAGGTGAGTAACCTGTGAATAGTTTTTCCCCTGAGCAGTTGACTGGCCAGTACTGACTGAGGCCCTGCATGACGCTAGAGCTTCCTGCCTCTCCCAGAGAGAAAGCATGTGGACAGGCCTGTAGCAAGTCCCAGCTCAGACTCTTCCTCGGGCTCCCCAGTCCATCCACTCTCATGCCCTGAACGCAGGCCCTTCTCTGGTATATTCCCTATGTCCAGCCTGCTCTCATGCCTAGGCTAGGACTCTGTGTCCATCCCGGCCCTCCCTGGGGACCTGGGGCAAAGCTGTAGCTGGAACACACAATGGAAGAAGCATTGAGGCTTCAGCCTAGCTCTGCTCCTCCCTGGCTGGGTGAAGCAGACAAGTTGCTTAACCTCTCTGTGCTTCATCTTCAGACCTAAAATGAGGATCCTCTGGCAGGCCTGCCTTTCTTGGAGGAGATGATGATGAAGCCTTGGAAAGCCCTCTAAACTCCTCCCAGGAGGAGAGTTGTGATGAGTGCATGCTCTGTGCCCATGTCTCAGGCTACAGCTGTTTTTAGGTGCTGTCAAGTCGATTGTGACTCAGAGTGACCCCGTGTGACAGAGGAGAACTTCCCCATTATTTTCTTGGCCATAATCTTTACGGAAGCGGATTCTCCCAACATTTCATTTAGCAGCTAAGCACGTAACCAGGGCTCCTTTAAGACATGCTGTTGTTGTTGTTGGGTGCCAGCAGGCCAGTTCAGACCCATAGTGACCCTGTATTGGTTTTCCGAAGCTGTAAATCTTTATGGGAGCAGAAAGCCCCATTTTTCTCCCAAGGAACAGCTGGTGGGTTTGAACCACTGTCCTTTTGGTTAACAGTTTATCCTACAGCGCCACGTGAGAAATATATTGATCAAGTGATTACAGCCATAAATGCATAATGTTGTCTAGTCAGGGAAGCCTTCCTGAATGATGACTCTAGCCGCAACCACAGGATTTGTAGGAGTAGGAGTTCATGCAGCAAAGGGAAGAGTGTTTCTGGCAGAGGGAACAGCATGTACACACGTACCTTGTGGTAGGAGGAAGCATGATGACTCTAACAAGGTCTTGACCAGAAGGAGGAAGTGTGGAAGCTATCAGAATGGAGGGCCTTGTTTGTCTTTGTTCTAAGAACTGTACAGGAGTACAGACAGGGAGTTGGGCACTTCACGGAACTCCCGGATCAAAATCCCTAAAGGATGAGCAGAGCCATGGCCTTGGTGAGTGAGATTGAGAAAAGAGAAACAGGACCTGCTTGCCTACTACGTGTAACCCTGGGGAAGTAGGTGGTCGTGCTTCTGTTTTTCAGTGAAGTAATGGATCATGAGAGGGGTTGAGTAACTGACCCAAATCACAGCTTGTAAGTGGTAGAGTTGATCCCCCTGTTAATCTTGGACTCCATCCACTCAGATCTGCCAGCTGTCTCAAGATAAGGGGAGTGTGGTCAGACCTGAGAAGAAGGAAAATGACTAGGAGAGAGCATGAGGTAGAATTTTCTGTACAGTCTCAGTAGGTTCACAGGGGATCCTGAGCAAGTGGGTCCCTGGTAAGGAGAGGATGGGGTCTGACTGAGGGAAGAGCTCTGTAAGGGAAATCCTAAAACCTGAACCCACCACTCCATCTCCTCATCAGTGAACGGAAGGGCCTTGATGCTTCCAGCTCTGTGGCGGCTAACACACAGCGGGGCTTTCTCTCCCTGTTAGCTATGCAGCTTCAACAGAAGAAATCTGTACCATAGACAAGAAGCAGTGAGCTCCTGTCATGCAGTTTGCCTGCCCCCAGTTTTATCTGATGGTAGGAAATTGCCCAGCCTTCCCCCTCTGCCCTTTCTCCGCCATACCAAATGCCAGCACTACTCCTGCATCCAGGCCCAGGTCCCTTCCCTCTGATCCAGAGAATGGAAACACAGAAGTCCTCATGTAGTATCTCTCAGCCAGATGTGCGTTAGCTGAACTGTACTTCATTTGTTTCTTTAATCCTTGTTGTTGTTGTTGTTGTTTTTGTTAGGTGCCATCAAGTCAATACTGACTCATAGCAACCCTATGCACAACAGAATGAAACACTGCACAGTCCTGGGTCAACCTCACAATTGTTGCCACACTTGAGCCCATTGATGCTGCCACTTTACCAATCTATCTCACTGGGGGTCTTCCTCTTTTTCTCTGACCCTCAACCTTATGTCCCTTCTGACAATATGTCCGAAGTATGAGAGACAAAGTTTGGCCATCATGGCCTCCAAGGAGCACTCTGGCCGCACTTCTTCCAACACAGATCTGTTGGTTCTTTTGGCAGTCCAAGGCACTTCCAATATTCTCCTCCAACACCGTAACTCAAAAGCATCAATTCTTCTACAGTCTTCTTTATTCACTGTCCAGCTTTTGCACTCATATGAGGTTATTGAAAACACCATGGTTTGGGTCAGGTGCATTTTTATCCTCAAGCTGACATCTTTGCTCTTCAACACTTTAAAAAGGTCTTTTGCAGCAGATTTGCCTAATGCAATACGTTATTTGATTTCTTGACTGTTGCTTCCATGAGTGTTGATAGTTGAGTCAAGAAGAATAAAGTCCTTGACAACTTCAATCTTTTCTCCATTGATAAGAATGTTATTTATTGGCCCATTCGTGAGGATTTTTGTTTTCTTTGCATTGAGATGCAATCCATACAGGAGTCTGTGGTCTTTGATCTTCATCAGTAAGTATTTTAAATCCTCGTCACTTTCAAAGAACCGGCTTCTTGTTCTGTTGATTCTTTCTATAGTTTTTCCGTTTTCTATCTCATTTATTTCTGCTCTAATCTTTATTATTTCTTTTCTTTTGGTGGCTGCAGGTTCCCTTTGTTGGTGTTTCTAATTGTTGTAGATGCTGTGTTAATGTGTTAATTTTGGTTCTTTCTTCTTTTTGGATGTGTGCGTTTATTGCAATAAATTGTCCTCTCAGCACCGCTTTTGTCGTGTCCCAAAGATTTTGGTATGTTGTGTTTTCATTCTCATTTGTTACGAGAAACTTTG